TTTCACCAAGCCTAAAAATATCGAAGCGGAGAATCCGCGAACACACCGCCCGCCTTCGTCTCCCAGACGCACCCGTCACGCAAATTTACATAATACATACTTATACATAACACAACAGAACGACAAACTATGCGCTCATTCCGAAACCAAAGGACATAGTCGGGATATATGTCGTCGCAAACTCATAGTCGCCGTCTTAACAGTGACCACTCTCACAAGCCCACCTGGACCTTCATGGACCTCGGTGACTCGCGCCAGTGGCCATTTGGAGGTTGGATATCGGTCATCCCGCAAAAGAACTAATTGACCGGCAGCGAAATTTTTGGAAGGACCGCGCCATTTCGCTCGTTCCTGTAGATGCTGCGTATATTCTGAAGACCACCGCTTCCAAAAATGATCTCTAACCCGCTGCATCAAGTGGAATCGTTCCAAACGGTTCTCAGGAACCTCTGGAGGCGCCCCATCAGGAAGCAGTCCAGAAGATTCACCGATTAAGAAATGCGCAGGTGTTAGCGCCTGAAGATCATCTGTACTATCCGTCAACGGAGAAATCGGACGAGAATTTAAGCATGCTTCTATTTCGGTCAGCACCGTACTGAATTCCTCAAAGGTTAACATCTGATCACCGAAAGCGCGTCACAAATGGTGTTTTACCAATTTAACACCTGCCTCCCATAGTCCTCCGTAATGAGGTGAGTTCGGAGATATAAAGGTCCATGAAGTTCCATCATTTGCCAGAGTAGTCGCGGCACTCTTATAAAATTCGGAACCTGATCTAAACATTTCACGCAACTCCTTATCTGCGGCTTGGAAAGTCGTCGCGTTATCCGAGTAAAGATTCTTACTAACTCCGCGCCGACTCGCGAAACGTCTATAAGCCGCGATAAACGTCCTCATTGTGAGATCACTCACCACCTCAAGGTGAATGGCCCGTGTCGCGAAACAGACAAATAACGCTACGTAGCCTTTATAAGACTTCTGTCCACGACCTTTGCTAGTTTTAATTTGGAAAGGACCGGCATAATCCAATCCCGCGGAGGTAAACGGTCGAGCGGGTCTAACACGCGACGCGGGTAAATTCCCCATCATTTGATGTGCCATCCGTGGCCGATTACGCTGACAACTATTGCAACTTCTAATTATGGTCTTGACTAAACGATTTCGACCTAAAATCCGGGCGTAACGCATCACTGTGCTCGAA